TGCAGCCAGGTGTGTCTTGCAGGACCAACCTCATGTGATTGCTGAGGCGGTAGAAGAGCACAAAGATTCTGCTATCTTGGGCCCAGTAAAAAAGATTGGACACAGCATCTTTGGAGAACAACCGATTAAAGGTATGAAACAGAGGTCTCCCATCTTTTCGAAATGTAACCTCCATGTTGGTGACCAAAGCAGCTGACTCTTCTAGGCGCGCTTGTATACTACATACGGCGGGTGTTAAACGACTGGTCCGACTTCGAAGCCCTTCAGATCCTGAAGAACATACGCACAGCCTGTGCAGACGACTCGCGGGTACTCATTGCAGAGTATTTGCGTCCCGAAGATCCGAGTGTATATACTAGTACTGTCGATATGTTCATTTTGAATATTGGTGGCAAGGTGCGCAGCGAGAAAGCGTTTGGCGAACTTGCGGCGCAGGCTGGGCTGAAGATTGTTTCAGTGGCGAAGCATGAAAAGACTGAGTCAGCTGTAGTCGAGATGATTCCAATTTAGTTCAGTCCATAAATAGCTGAATACAAGCACAGCTTTAATCACACGATGCTCCGTCTACCCACTGCTGTAGTTGCTTGCTACTTCTCGCTCCGGCTGTTACAGTCACTCGTTAATATAGTTGGCGCTTCGAAAAAAAGAAGCTCCATGTCCATGAGCTTGGTGTAGTAAGTAGTACATCGTAGTAATGTGCGAATGTAGAATTGCGGCCGAAGTAGGAGCGAGATTTGAATCCTTGATAATCTAGTAACGACGCTTAACGAGTATACATAACGATATATCTTCTATATGCGTAAAGTAATCATTCTTACAGAATACTTACAGAACAAGGAGTTGCCTGCTCCAAACTCACACCATGTACATAGCCACGATAGGCGTTCGAGATGAAGTTCAACATCATAGTGCGCCAGCATAAGGCTACATCTTCATTCTCATACAGCTTCAAAATAGAAAATACATTATGTCTATAAACATATCTAAACATATCTATGAAGGATAGACGGTATCAGCTAACACCTACTTACCATTCACACCGTTCTCACCGTTCTCACCGGCCTTCTTGCCCGTTCTATTTGAGAACCCCGGCCTGGGGTTTCCCTCAAACTCCTTTGCAGCCTTCCATCCTTGCTCCAACGAGTTTGCCATCAATCTCGTCGTGCCCCAGACGTCGAATTGAACAGCGATAGCGCGCATGCCAGTTTGAATAGCCATAGGTAGGTGCTCTAGGCTCATGACACCACTGTAAAGACATGAAATGTTAGCAAATTATAGTGCACTCGAGAAGGGGGGAAGCAGTGAAAGGGAAAATTACATACCCAAAGATTGGCAAATCATTCTTGGCAGCAACAGCATTGAACTTGGCCATAGCCTCAAGAAACTTGGGATCAGGCTGACCAGCCAACACAGTAGTGATATCCATTCCAGCATCAATCATAAAATCGCCCGGACCAAACATGAGTCCGGAAATGCCTGGTACGGCAGCAATCTCTTCCGCATTCTCAAGACCCTTGAGCGACTCGATTTGTGGGATGAGACAGACGTGGTTGTTTGCAGTTTGAACGTTGTAAGGGTCATTCGGGTACAGGGATTTAGTCAGGCCGGGGGTGAAGGCCCATGGGGAGAATGAGCGGTGGCCTTTACCGTCTGTTGGGGAATCGTGTTATCGTGGGTACTCTTGAGAAAAGAAATGGTGGGGGTGGGGCGACAAGGCAGGGACAGGGAAAGTTTTGAGAGAGGAGAAACTAACCACCAAAGTACATCTCCTTGATGAACTGTCTGACTTCATCTGCAGACTCGACGTGGGGAATCACGATACCGGCACAGCCAGCGTCGAGTGCAGTAGTGAGACTGATTTCATCGCGTTTGGGTACACGACAAATGACCATTGACTTTCCTTCAGAGTGGTGCTGAGCAGCGTGTATGCAGCTTTTATCACTCTATTAGCAAATTTCTTCTCATTCGTCATCTGCTGCAAAACTCACTCGTGCAGTGTCAAACGGTCGAACATGCCGTGCTCAACATCCAACCAGATGAAATCCGGCTTTGTGCTTGCAATAAGCTTGGTCACAAAAGTGCTGGGAATGCCCTGTGCAATACCCATAAGACTCTTGCTTGCATCGGCCTGGGCATCTTTGAGTGCCTGGCGAAGGTTGGCAGGTTGTGTAAGGGAAGCTGCGCGGTAAGGTGCGTGAGTGTGTAGCGATGGTTGCTCGCTGTATGGGGTGAAAGTGGCCATATTGAGAAAATTGAGAAGTGGGGAAATTTATGGAGAGCAAAAGTCGATATTCTAGAGGAGGATGGCAAGTACAGTTAGCACACGAGTGATCTGAGCTGTGTATAAGAGATATCCCAACGACCTTTATATATGTCGAACCTAGTTTCCCTGCTGATTTACATGCAGACGAAATGTGACCGTACCGCATCACATTTCCACGACACGCGGCTGAATTCGATGGTGGATACCTTTGTCAACGGTGCCAACGGATTTAGCGGGATTCAGTAGTACCATTGCGCGGAGCGAAAAGTACTATACCCTAATCAAGCGCTTCTTGCCTAACATGTAGGTTGCCTATCACCAACCCTCGCTCTTAAGAAGCAGGGCGTTTGCTGACGATCTTAGAAACATTGGTAATAGCTCAGGGGGTTAGCCAGAATAGCGCGTATGCTAAGGCGGATGAATGCTCCGCAATGGTGGCTTTGAGTAGTACAAGGCAGACATATTACTGCTGATGTAAGAGCCTTTTGGTTTTAGCATCCGATTGATCATGTAACTAGTCATCAAAGCTGCTGACTGATGTAAAGTATGCTGCTTCAATGTTCCCGAGTGGGGCTTGGTACACGCATGTGGGCTGCCACGGACGAAGAACGCACGCATAGCCACAAGGCAGCAAGAAACTCGAGCCGAAATCGGATTGTGCTTAGTATGTAACTCAACTGACTTTTGGACGAATAACAACAGACGGACGGGAAGGATGCGGATCCATAAGCGAAATTGTACTACATATCGGCCATAACACCTAGCTCCGATCTCCAAGCCACGAGAGGGTATCGAAGCGCTGATTGCGGAGTCCGGTCGAATATAGAACGGAATCGCAACCTCGCTGTTACGAATCGGACTAACTCCGTCTGACAGCAACCAAGGCGAGGCGCTCAAGTGACACCGTATGAGACCATCGATATCGAATGTAGAGACGCTGGCAATCAGGTCGATTACGACGATTTTGTGACGGATCGATCCCTTGTAAACCACTCGCACACTTCTCAAGTCAGCTGCAATGGTACCAATTTCGAACATGTTTCAGACTGACCCGGCATTGACGGCATTCGTGGAGCATATGTGCCTTGAGATGGGTTACTCTGCGATGTACTTGGCATCCTTGTCACAGTAACCTCGATAATATCCTTCTCCAAGAGTTCGAAATCCATGCTGTCCCTTTCCATCTCTTCTGACGAAAACGTTTCCTTGTCGTGTTGCCGCCTCCTGCGGTTTGGAATATCCATAATGGTAGCGGCGAGAATTATGAGGCTGAGAACGGCCACCACACCACCGATTGCAACAAAAACGATAGATATCGTAGATATGCCCTCCCATGAGCCGAGATTCATATTGGTGGGTGACGGGTAGTTTAAATGAGATGGTGCGTAGTCTGAAACCAAGTTGGAGACCGTCGAGTATCTTCTAAGATCTTTGTATAAGAGTTGCGCGATACTCTATAGATAAAAGATTGCCGAATCGAAGGATACGGATACAGGTCCAATTGTCGAAAAAGTGTAGTACTTCGAAAACAATGCTGCAGGTCAACACCATAAGTGCGAAGACGCTTTCCTTATAGCCAACACCTCCCTTCTCTGTGTGTTTTTCTACTTCCATCACCCTGAGCAACAAAGTACAAGATACTCATCGGGCCCGTTCGGCCGTTGGGTCGTCTACGAAATAGCAAAAACCTCAGCTGCTGGGTGGCCTGCCCGCCACACCAACGTAACAGAACCCCGTCTCTTTCCAAGCTGGCAACGTCAGCTTCATGTCCGGGCGGCACAAAACTGCTTTTTTGTATATCCCAGTAGCTAGGCTACTGCGCAGATATCATTGACGACTACTCCAATCAGGACTTGATGCCTCGTGGCTGCGCAGGCTCCTGTGCGCTCAGGGGCGCTGCCTAGTCATGAACGCTAACGGAATATGGACATTTGGCTTTTGGGGCAGCATCGATTTGTATGCTTTTTCCTTTCTTCTCTAGATTCGTTGACCTTATTGCGTAGTAAGCGAGGGGTTTTGTTTTTATGCACGTCGCTCGATAGCATGCTTGGCTAACATCAGCTCAAATTTAACTTGGCATAAGCCATGTTGGTTGATGAGGACCTACAAAGGCAGTTTACTTTAGAGTTCTATACTCTGTAGATTAGAGTAGAGACTGGAACTGGCGATTTAATGGCAACATGTTATGTCCTTCTGATGGCGGATGTTATTGTTAGTAAATCTGTTGCCTCAAGCATTCGCTTAGAGTTGTTTATGCACCCCCAGTGTTCCAGAAAGACGCAAGCGCGGATAGGTAGACGTAGCGTGTCGATTGCATCAGGTGAACCCCATGGGGCGTTTTCAAATGCGGTTTAATGCCATAGTAGTACCCGACGATATGGTTCGCTCGCGAACACTGGTGCGGGGTATCGTATGATCCCAGGCCTGTTTCATACGCAAGTTCATTCTGCTACGTGGCTAACAGGTTCTGGGCACCCAAAATCTTTTACTCACGTATTATCAAGCGAAATGCGTATGTTGGTCTTAATATTGGAATCACTGTCAGCGTTTACTGGCGAAGCAGCGGCGCGCTTGTGTCGGTATCTGTAGCCAGGTAGTTTTGATAAGTTGCCGAAAGTATTCAACGAAAAATACTCTTCCTCAGATGATGAACAAGAAATTCCTAGTGTAGATCTAGACTGTGTACGTATGGTTGGGCTTTGAACATTCGAGAAGGGGCTTCGGGCGCTGGTGCTCGTTAGGCTACAGGACCCGGCCCGTACCACCCCTTCCCGTATGCAATATGCACGCTGCCGGTCAGTACATTGCTTTTCGAGTCTGCAGCCTGCATGCGCTCAATACCTGCATACAATTTGAGTTTGATCCTCAGCGGAATCAGGATTCCACAATGACTAATGAGTATAGCTGAAATGGCTACCATATCACTCATACTTTGTGTTAACATAGTCTTGAGTTACTTTGGGGTTGGCCTACTGCATATATATATATATATATCTGAAGAGCATACTCGCTCGACGGTGCGGTTAGATGTTCTGAAATGATTATAGTAATTCACTCTCCGGAAAGTTTAGGGTTCCCAGAAGCCAGTGCACAACCGAGGATCTGGTTCATCCGAAAATCAAAAGAAAAAACTTTTCATGGCCCCCTTTTTTGAATATCAGAGGGCCGGGATTGCCTCTCAGCCTACCAACTCCATCCCAAAGTGCCCGAGTAAACCATTGTTTCCATGCTGAAGGACTTGCCCCTGCATAAGCACCGGTTAGCGGAGAATATCTCTTGGAACTTAGGTTTCTTTTGTTATTATGTAGTTCCCTTCGTGGTTCACGAACCTTTCCATAATGCCCTATTTTATAATAACATGTCGTAGTAATCATGATTCTGAGGTTCCGATCCTGAATGGCGCACTTCCGACTGACATCCGCTCCTTGTGTTGATTGCGCATGGATATACGACCTGTGTCGATCCGCATTGTCTTTAGCCGGTGAAGTATTCCGAGTTTTAGTGGACAAATAGAAAAAGAGTTAGAAACCCATATCATGTGAGAGTGGAGACACCGAGCTTGGACACAAGGGTCAAAACTCAGATTAATCGCTCAACAAAAACAAAGGAAAGGGGTCACAGCAAGTTTCAATTTGAGCTCCAGCCGTCAGAGCGTCCCAAAAGACAGTCGGGTGTGCACAATTGTTGAGAGGGTCTGAGAACAGGCGAGTTGAGATAGGGCTTGACGGTAGTACTTTGAAGGGTAACCAGGAAAAAGCCGTGAGTGGTTACAGAACAAAAACGTGTAAACAGTTCCTTGTATGACCACAGATAGTAACAGCAATGAAAACTGGCCATTATCAGTTAGGTGTTCGGCCGAGGTGCGGAACAGGAAAACCCTTCCCCAATGCGTTCATATCTTAATATCAAAGCTCGTCCCACAGCCACAACTACTCGTTGCCCCCGGTATGCCTGTTATCTTGAACTGGCTACCTATCAATTCCATTGTGTAATCCACTGTGCTCCCACTCAGCAACTCTAGGCTCGACTCATCGATGACAACCTTCTCTCCCTTCTCCCCTTCGAACACAGTATCTTCCTCGGTAGGTGGATTCTTGGATAAGTCCGTTAGGTCCATGAGATATTGGAAACCATGGCAACCACCGCTCTCAATGGTCACACGCAGCGCAAGGTTTGGATTATTATCGCCTGTGGATATCTTATAAAGGCGGTTCGATGCGCGTGGTGCAATGGAAATCAACATTGGGTTGCCCGAGTCGTCGGTTCGTGGATTCTGGATTACATGGGCAGGTTTTGCGGTCGAGGCATCAGATGATGTGGCGAGAGCTCGTCGTGATATGCTTGGTGGCTGTACAAAGGCTGAATTGTGTGCTGGAATACGTCTTGAGGCTTTCCACCGTAGGGCGGAAGGTGCAAGGAAGTCGAGATATAGCGACTGCGGAGTGGCGCGCGAGGCGGCGATCCTGCTATGCGCCCTCACATACTGTGATACGATTGTTGTAGGTGCAGTTACTTTTGGTGTAACAGTCCGTCTCGCTGCGCGCCAGCATGACACACACATGGTAGATGGGGATGCCATTGTTGCGATATCGAAGTAGTCCGAGAAGAGGTCCGAGGTGGAGGGATCGAAGATCTGAGGTCATAGCTAGGGATGTCACAATTTCCAGCACCAATCAATGTTGATTGCTGCCTCACGGTTCTGGACCGCTTAGTCATGAAACTACCCCCACCTTGTGCCACCGCCACCATCCATCGGGTGAGCCACCGGGTTGTTACAGCCCTACCCGTTCGAGCTATTTACTTATCGCGCCTGATGCTTACTTAAATAATCCCATTCAGCAGACTTTCTGATCTGTGACTTTGGTACCTCATGCACCGTGACTCAGCATAGCGCTGACACTGACTGCCTCCTTTGTCCCTCGCGACAATGCCTTACGGTCACAACCCTTACCTAGCGATACCGGAGCCCGAACTTCGCGCCGAGCAGTTTGCGCGACGTGAAGATGAGAAGGACGGATTGAGTAAGCTGAGGAATGAGTTCGTCATACCCACCAAGGGCGATCTGAGGAACCGCAATTATGGATTCCAGCGGAAAGAAAAAAATCCAAGTGCGCAATCAGACGACAACGAGGAATCCATATACTTTTGCGGAAACTCTCTTGGGCTTCAACCGCGAAGAACAAAAGAGTACGTCAACCGTTATCTCGACACTTGGGCTTCAAAGGGCGTCTTCGGACATTTTACCAATTACGAAGGAGGCCTTCCGCCATGGCTACACATTGACGATGCAGCCAAAAACCAGACAGCAAAAATTGTCGGGGCGCATCCCAGTGAAGTCGTCGTCATGGAGACACTGACTGCGAACCTGCACCTTTTGATGGCTAGTTTTTACCGTCCGACCAAGGATAGGTGGAAGATTATCATCGAGGGCAAGGCATTCCCTAGCGACCATGTATGCTACCCAACTGTAATTTAGGGTGCACCAGTGACTGACAACCCGATAGTATGCTGCTCTCTCGCAAATCGCACACAACAACCTTGATCCCTCCGCTTTAATCACCATCGATCCACCATCATCCTCCTCGCCCTACCTCTCAAGCGAACACATCCTCTCCGTAATTTCACACCACGCCCCAAGTACTGCCCTCGTCCTTCTACCCGGCATCCAATTCTACTCCGGTCAATTCTTCGACATCGAGTTGATAACGCGTCACTGTCGATCATTGGGCATAACAGTAGGCTGGGACTTGGCGCATGCAATAGGAAACGTACCATTGAAGCTGCATGACTGGAACGTCGACTTTGCAGCATGGTGTAACTACAAATACATGAATGGTGGCCCGGGCACCATTGGCGGACTCTTTGTTCACGAAAGACACAGTAAGGTAGAAAGAGCCCCTACACCCCGAACAAACGGCACAGGTAGCACATCAGAAAACGGTGCGCAACTATCATACCGCCCACGCTTGAGTGGGTGGTGGGGAAGCGACAAGAGCAGCAGATTCCACATGGACAACCAATTCGTCCCCATCCCCGGCGCCAGCGGCTTCCAACTGAGCAACCCAAGCGCACTCGACATGACCTCCGTGATGGCGAGCTTAGACGTCTTCGCCCTCACCGATATGGAAGCCCTACGAGAACGTAGTCTCAGGCTGACCGCGTACCTCGAAGCCCGGCTCCTCAAATACCCAAATGGCGAACCACCGTACAAAATCATCACACCCGTGAATCCCATGGAGCGCGGCGCACAACTCAGTGTGCTCCTCAACCCAGGTTTGCTAGACAAAGTTCAGCACTACATCGAGGAACGCGGTGTAGTAGTGGACGAGCGCAAGCCTGATGTGCTCAGAGTTGCGCCAGCACCACTATACAACTCCTTCCACGACATCCACCGCTTCATCATCATCTTCCACGAGGCATGTCAAATGGCTTTAAAAAGCGGAGGGAGGACGACCTCGTACAATGATGCTGTTCCCAGAGGCATCGCTACTGTATAAACGCAATAGTTCTTGAGGGAGAGGCTCGCTCGGACAGTATCTACTCGTCAGCAATAAACGAGCCACATAATTTTTAATATCATTATCCCCAAATATGCACGTATGCTCACATAAGGAAGGCAAAACAAGTTGAATGTCGCGATTGTAAAACTTGTTGACTGACCAAGTGCAAACTATGCAACTAAGCGAAATCGTAACGTGCTAAAATCCTACCATGTGCAAACCTCATCATCTAGAATGCTTATGAAAACAGCTGTTGGTATCCAAGCATACATCAAACCCGTTCATCATGCCTTGGGCACAAAGGAAAACAAGCTATCCATCTGTACCCATTGCCTTCCGTTCTTTTCCAACCATTTCTCAACAACACCCTTCAGCGTATCAAATCTCTCCCTGTTAACTTCGGCCAACACTTTGATCTTCTCTCTTCTCTCCATATCCTCCGATTTGATACCGCCATCCATCTTGCCCGCACGATCAACGTCGAACAGAGACTGATAGTATAGAAGCTGATTCCACACATCGCGTTCTTTGATCTCGTAAGTCATTTTGCCTAAGCAATCCCGAGCGAGACCCTTGGGACCCAAGCATCGGTGGCCATAGACAGAGATGCTGCGTGTGCGGTTCGAACATTGTGGGTCATCGCAGAGAACGTATCCCGCATAGTAAGAGGCGACGACCTGGCGAATTGCAGACTCCAGCTGTGCTACTACACTGATGTTTTGTAAGGTCATACCGCAACCTTCAGCAGGGCACTGAATTCCGCTGTGAGAAATTGTTTGCAACGACGCCGTAGTTGGTGAAGTCGGTGAGAGACCCTGGAAGGGAAAGACAGTTGTGCAGGTTCGGCAGCGTAGCCAAAGCGGCGAGCAGGATTGGAAGCGTACGGAGTCTGGGATCTGTGACTCCAGAGGGTGAATCTCGGTCTCTTGTTGTGCACCTCCAGAAACTGTGCTGACACGATATTTAGAGGTATCCAGTCCAAGACAGGCGGCAAGAAGCGTGATGTTTGTTCCGCTAATGGGCGCACATAGACGCTCGACCGGTGGCAAAATCTGTTTGTGGAGGTAGTAGTCGATATCTGGCTTCAGTCCGCTGTCAGGCTTCAGGACTTCATCGACTGGGTAGGCGTTTTTGGCTGCATTCTCAGCAGATCCGGAAGAGTCTCCAGTGATGATGAAGCTCATGACATCCTTTGCTTTGACGTGTTTGCCCTTGGCCATGAGACGCAGAGCGACTTGCACCGAGGGCATGGAGTTGCCGTTGGGATATTCCTTCGGGTTCTTTCCGAGCTGCGTGTAGATGGTGTACTTGCGAGCAGGAATGGCGTACTCGCGCATTTGCTTGCTGAGCTCTCGGAGGTGATTATGAATATTCTCGACGACTACTTCAGGGTCCTCACCACTAAGAAGGAAATTGAGTAGCTCCCTAT